AAAAGGGGAAAGAAGGCAAAAATACAGTTTTGAGGATTCTGTTCTCTTTATATCTGGAAGGAGAGAGCCTCATTTCTCATGCCATTGAGCCCCTGCCCCTCAGCCCTAGGTACCTACGGTTAGAAAGAGCATTGGATAAGGAAGCCAAAACCTGGGTTTAATACAGCGTGGACCTTGAAGTTATGTGCCCTTAGACAAGTTCTTTCTTTTCCCAGGGCTTCAGCTTTTGACTTTCAAATAAAAACACATCTCTAATGTTTAAGGAACATTTGGGTGCTATCCTAGGCCTTTTTTGCATTTCCTCTTATTTATTCTTCCCAACTCTGCTATTACTACCACATTTTTAAAATAAAATTTTATTGTGATAAAACATATGTAAAAATTTACCATTTTAACTACTTTTAAGTGTACAATTCAGTGGCATTAAGTACATTTACAGTGTTGTGTAACCATCACCACTATTTCCTGAACTTTATCATTAAACAGAAATCTATACCCATTAAACAATAAATCTCCATCCTCCCTTCCCCCAGACCATTCTCCTCTATTCTACTTTCTGTCTCTATGAATTTGCCAATTCTAGGTATCTCATATAAATGGAATCATACAATATATGTCCTTTTATGTCTGGTTTATTTCACTTAGTATAATGTTTTCAAAGTTCATTCATGTTGTAGCATGTAGAAGAATTACTTTTTTTTTATGGCTGTACCCCATTTTATTTATTTTGGCAGCTGGCTAGTTAGGGGATCCAAACACTTGACTTTGGCGTTAGAAATACCATGCTCTCCCAAGTGAGTTAACCAGCCCCTGTACCCCTATTTTAAAGAAGAGAAATCCAAGCCTCAGAGAGATTAAGAAACTTTCCCAAGATCACAAAGATTAGAAAGTGCTAGAGTTGGGACTTTAACTTAGGTCTGAATCACTATGCTCAATTAGAGGGTCAGATCTCTGAAGTCTCTTCCAGGTCCTAAATGGTATGAATTCCATGTTAACTGTTGAGTTCTTTGATGTCAGAAAAATGCCTATTAAAAGAGCTTTTTTTTATGTTTGATCGATGATATTCCTATTCTGGAAACAAATACGTTTTTTTCACTTAGCATCAGGTATACAAATCATTGTGACTTTTTGTCTACTGTGTTTTGTCTATAGTATTGCACAGGCCATAGGTACATTAGTAGGTATAGTGGCAAGGGATTGTGTGCATTTAGGAGAGAGGAGTAAGTAATAGAAGATGGGACATTCTAAGAAGTAGCCTATAGAAACAGTTATAGAATCAATTCATAATTACAGAAGCTACCAATTAGTTTTGGTCCAACTTTTTTTTTTTTTTTAAAGATGACTAGTAAGGGGATCTTAACCCTTGACTTGGTGTTGTCAGCACCACGCTCACCCAGTGAGCAAACCAGCCATCCCTATATGGGATCCGAACCCGTGGCCTTGGTGCTATCAGCACCACTCTCTCCCGAGTGAGCCACAGGCCGGCCCAGTTTTGGTCCAATGTTAACAGTAAGTTTAGGTAGGCGTTTACATAGGGTGCTTTGTGTTCTTAATGGCTGGATGATGCTTGAATTCTGTAGATCAAAGCCTTTCATCTTACAATTAGAAATATGGCTCAATTGTTAATTAAAAGAAAACAAGAAGAAATGTGGCTCAAGCTGTACATACCCTGTAAAAGGCAATAAAGTTGCTTAAATTCAGTCAGGTGTAAATTATATAAACTTCTATTCATGGAAGCAGATTTTGCACCAGGAAAGGATATGAGAGCTAAAGTGTGGTTGTGGGCAGAGTAGAGAGGGAGCCTGATGGGGAGATTTAGCACAGAGCAGCTCACTTTGCATATGTCCCACTTTTGGCCAGGTTTACCTCAGGTAGGATTTGTGAGGAGCGGGGTTGCAAGTTTGATGGGAAGGACAGTCCTCTGATACTGTGGTTCTCATCTTTGGCTATGCATTAAAATCACTTGAGGAGCTTTACAAAGATACTAATGCCTAGATCCTACCCTCAGGGATTCTGAATCAATTGGTCTGGAGTGTGGCCTGGACATTAGGATTTTAAAAGTTCTCCTGGTAACCCTAATTGGCAGCAAAGTTTGAGGACCACTGTTTAAATATACCACCCCGCTGCACACTACCTGTTTTTCTCTTTGTTCTCCCCAAGCATTCTCTCCCAAGCCTAAAGCAGCAGTTTGATGGGGCACCAGGCTTGGAGGGGAAGCGACCCGGCTTCCTTTTTTCTTTGTCATTTCAGGTCTCTGTAAATTTAAACAAGCATATCCAGGTCTTAGTCCTATATCCACCCCAGATTTTGCATGTGACCCAGGATAGCTTACCTCACCTTATCTGCTATCTAGGGACACTATTACCAGCTTAGTTTATTCCTGTGTTTGTGACTTCATTCATGTCTGCGTAAGAATCCTGCCCCCTTTTTCAGGATAGGCAGTGAGTACAAAGTGCTGAGAAATGGACGGTTCCTCTTACAGGTGGCTGTTGATCTGTCACCTTTCACCAGGGACTAAATTTACCTTAAAGAAGAGTGTAGATCAAATTACGCATCAGAAAGCACGTTTCATTAAAGAGCAAGAAAGGGGACAGTGTTTCCCAGGAGAAGATGAAAAGAAAAGGATTTCTTTTCTTGTCAGAAGACTTGACAAAACAGCAACTGGATATCAAATGTTCAATGCTAATTAACAAATGCTCAGTAGAAAGCTTCCATCTGATTCCCTCTCCCTTACTGAGGCCAGAGAGCAAATGGTAGGTAGGAGCCACAGAGGGCCCTTTCTGTAGCCTTAGGGCAGCCACATAATGTTGATGCGCTTGAGAAAGCATTGGACAGGAATCAAAGTTCTGAATGCTTCTTCACTCAATTATTGTGTGAACTTGGAAAAGTCACTTAACCTCTCCAACTTCTATTCCTTATCTGTAAAAATAGACCACATTGCACTAACCTGTGACTTGCCATAATTGAAATAGAAATTCCTCTCCTTCATTTGTAAGGGTCAGGCCTGAAAACACAGAGCCCATCTATTTTCAAATCCTTGTGATTATCTGAAGTTTCAAAACATAATTCAGTAAAATGTTTCAATTTAAAAAGACAGAATTTATGTTGAAAGTAAAGGGCATGTTACTAATATTTTAATTAGGTTGTTTCAGCTCCACTCCCCAAGATTCCTTACCCTTGATATGTCAATGAATTAGCCAACATCTTACCTCAGAAATTAATAAGATTTACAAGCAACGGGCCGGCCCGTGGCTCACTCGGTAGAGTGCGGTGCTGATAACACCAAGGCTGCGGGTTCGGATCCTATATAGGGATGGCCGGTTTGCTCACTGGCTGAGCGTGGTGATGACAACACCAAGCCAAGGGTTAAGATCCCCTTACCGGTCATCTTTTAAAAAAAAAAGATTTACAAGCAACATAAAAAATAGACTTAATTTTAGTATAAGTGTATTTCAGGTTAGATTATTTTACTAGTGGCAATGTAAATTCTCTAATCAATAATATTCAGGACTCTCAAAACTTTAAAAAGTTCCACATGCACTCATTATGTCAAAAGTTTTTAAAATTTTTTTAGTCCCCACAACATTTCTGAGGAAGATAGTGCAGTTACGATATTACCACTTTACAAAAATGGAAATAGTGGCATAGCATGCTGTGACTGACCACCATGCCTCAATTTACCAGCCAGGCAAGAATAGAACTGGGATTAGAACAACGTGGGTTTACTGATTACCAGGTAAACCACAAAACCAAGAACTTGTGGTCACTTCCTGCACGTAAGATAAATTATTTTAGGAAGTGAGAAACCCTTTAAGACTCATTTCAAGGTAGAAAGGGAATGCAGAGTACCTCGTTCAGGAGGTATCTTATCCCAACTTATCCTCTCTGAAATAGGAGGTTGCCTCTGTGGTTGTGAGCAGGTGTTAGTCATTTCTAGGCATTCAAACCAGGTTGGGGCTGAAAGGGGTTTTTTTAGATACTGAGAGGCTGCTTGGTAACTCCCATTGTTTCAGAAGGAGCTCCCCTCCCCCCCAGGTTAGAGCTGGGTGGGCTTCCGCTGGCCCCTGCGGGATAGCGTCTCCCCAAACCCAGCCTTTAATAGTAACAGTGTTCGAGTGTTCCAGGAGGTGAATAGAGAGGAAGAGGGTTGAGGAGAGGGTACTAAATAGGAGATGGCTTCTTAAATAAGCTTGAACTCTGTAAATTAGATGTTGGCCGAGTGATTTGTGGAGTAGCCTGCATTCAGCTATTATTCTGGGGGAGGAAGGGGGCTTAGTGTTCTGCAGAGACGAGTCCTGGGATGACTTCCTTGGAAATTCTAGCTAGCAGCCGCCCACCCTGAGAAACTTCTTTTGGGGAGAGCGATGATGGGGGTAGGGTAGGAATGGAAGTGAGGAAGACGGGACAAAACTTGGAGTATTGGGGGCTGGGTGCTGGCGAGGAGAAGATATTCTGGGCTCCTCCTCCCCCTCTGGCCCTCAAACCTCTGAGGAAATCAGACCACCCGCTCTGGAATCCACGTTTTCCAGGCTCAGCGGATCCTTTATCCAAAGAAAAATAAGAGAAGCCTATCGCCTTGCTCCATTGATCAGGGCTGCTTTTCCCGCTGTGCCCCCTGAGTGGGGAGGAGGGAGAGGCCAGGGCAAAGACATCTGTGGGGCGAGGGAGCTGGCAGAGGCTAGGAAAGGTGGACCCCCACCGTGCCTCGCCGCACCTGTCACTGAGCCTCTGGAAGCCCTCCTAGGCGCTGGGCTCCCTCCCCCACACCCTCTCTCCGGCTCCCGGCTCTCTCCTCAGCGGCTCCTCCCCACCCGCTCCCCTCCCCACCAGCTCCTCCCCCATCTCCCCTCTCCCGGCTTTCTCGCTCCAGCTCCTCCCCTCCTCCGCGCCGCCTGGCTCCCCTCCCCCTCCGCTGCTGCTCCCTGCCCCCGCCGCCGATCTCCATCTCCGCAGTCTGGGCCGCTGGGTGCAGAGGCTGCGGCAGCCCTGGCGGCCCACGCCGCCCTCCCCAATCCGGATACCCATTGTCTCCCACCCCACTCGGCCCTCCACTTCCCCACAACCATGGCGCACGATGCCGGGAGGAGTTCTTGTCTCGGAGGGCCCTGCGGGGAGCCGGCGGTGCTCGGAGGTGCGGTAGGGCAGGGCCCGGGCGGGGATGGGGGCGGAGTGGACGCGCGGGGGTAAAGACTTTTCGGTGGACAGAATAAAATGCATGATTTTCTGCATAGGCCCCCATCCTCACAAGCATTCCTTGCACTCGCCTGTGACCCGGGGAAAGGGGGGTTGGGGGAGAAAGGGAGTAGTATGCGCTGCCACCCCCTCCGCCAGTCATGCTGGGGCGTTTTGTGTCCACGCGGGTCAGGACTGAGGTCTAGCCTTTTGCATGGCCTGATGGTGTGCTCATCTCCCCACCCCCAACTAGCGGTTACTGGGCTTATTGCTGATGAGAGCCTCTGTGTACCCAGCACAACCGCACACCCACGCTCTCTTTCCTTGTCTTCTCCCCAGGTGACGCTAGCGAGGAGGAGCACCCCCAAGTCTGTGCCAAGTGCTGCGCGCAATTCACTGACCCAACCGAATTCCTCACCCACCGGAATGCATGTTCTACTGATCCTCCTGTAATGGTGATAATTGGAGGCCAGGAGAACCCCAACAACTCTTCGGCCTCCTCTGAACCCCGGCCTGAGGGCCACAATAGTCCCCAGGTCATGGACACAGAGCACAGCAACCCTCCGGATTCCGGGTCCTCCACGGATCCCACCTGGGGACCAGAGAGGAGGGGAGAGGACTCTTCCGGGCATTTCCTGGTCGCTGCCACAGGTACAGCGGCTGGGGGAGGAGGGGGCCTGATCTTGGCCAGTCCCAAGCTGGGTGCAACTCCATTACCTCCAGAATCCGCCCCTGCACCCCCTCCTCCTCCACCTCCCCCTCCACCCTCAGCTGTAGGCAGCGGCCACTTAAACATCCCGCTGATCTTGGAAGAGCTACGGGTGCTGCAGCAGCGGCAGATCCATCAGATGCAGATGACTGAGCAAATCTGCCGGCAGGTGCTGCTGCTTGGCTCCTTAGGTCAGACGGTGGGTGCTCCTGCCAGTCCCGCAGAGCTACCTGGGACAGGGACTGCCTCCTCCACCAAGCCCCTACTACCCCTCTTCAGCCCCATCAAGCCTGTCCAAACTGGCAAGACCCTGGCACCTTCCTCCTCCTCCTCCTCCTCCTCTTCCTCCTCCTCAGGGGCAGAAACGCCCAAGCAGGCTTTCTTCCACCTTTACCATCCTCTGGGGTCACAGCATCCCTTCTCTGCTGGAGGGGTTGGGCGAAGCCACAAACCCACCCCTGCCCCCTCCCCGGCCCTGCCAGGCAGCACAGATCAGCTGATTGCCTCCCCTCATCTGGCGTTCCCAAGCACCACAGGACTACTGGCAGCACAGTGTCTTGGGGCAGCCCGAGGCCTTGAGGCCGCTGCCTCCCCAGGGCTCCTAAAGCCAAAGAATGGAAGTGGTGAGCTGGGCTATGGGGAAGTGATGGGTCCCTTGGAGAAGCCTGGTGGGAGGCACAAATGCCGCTTCTGTGCCAAAGTATTTGGCAGCGACAGTGCCCTGCAGATCCACCTTCGTTCCCACACGGGTGAGAGGCCCTATAAGTGCAATGTTTGTGGCAACCGCTTTACCACCCGCGGCAACCTCAAAGTGCATTTCCACCGGCATCGTGAGAAGTATCCACACGTGCAGATGAACCCACACCCAGTGCCAGAGCATCTAGACTACGTCATCACCAGCAGTGGCCTGCCCTATGGTATGTCTGTGCCTCCAGAGAAGGCTGAGGAGGAAGCAGCCACTCCAGGTGGAGCTGTTGAACGCAAGCCTCTTGTGGCCTCCACCACAGCACTCAGTGCTACAGAGAGCCTGACACTGCTTTCCACTGGTGCAGGCTCAGCTGCAGCTCCTGGGCTCCCTGCTTTCAACAAGTTTGTGCTCATGAAAGCAGTGGAGCCCAAGAGTAAAGCTGATGAAAACACCCCCCCAGGGAGTGAGGGCTCAGCCATAAGTGGGGTGGCAGAAAGTAGCACAGCAACTCGCATGCAGCTAAGTAAGCTGGTGACTTCATTGCCAAGCTGGGCACTGCTTACCAACCACTTTAAGTCCACTGGCAGCTTCCCATTTCCCTATGTGCTAGAGCCCTTGGGAGCCTCACCCTCTGAGACATCGAAGTTGCAGCAACTGGTAGAGAAGATTGATCGACAAGGGGCCATGGCAGTGGCCTCTGCTGCGTCAGGAGCCCCCACCACCTCTGCCCCTGCACCTTCATCCTCAGCCTCTTCTGGACCTAACCAGTGTGTCATCTGCCTCCGGGTGCTGAGCTGTCCTCGGGCCCTGCGCCTGCATTATGGTCAACATGGAGGTGAGCGGCCCTTCAAATGCAAAGTGTGTGGCAGAGCCTTCTCCACTCGGGGCAATCTCCGTGCACATTTCGTGGGCCACAAGGCCAGTCCAACTGCCCGGGCCCAGAACTCCTGCCCTATCTGCCAGAAGAAGTTCACCAATGCTGTCACTCTGCAGCAGCATGTTCGGATGCACCTGGGGGGCCAGATCCCCAATGGTGGTACCACACTGCCTGAAGGTGGGGGAGCTGCCCAGGAGAATGTCACTGAGCAATCTACATCCTCTGGGACAGGGAGCTTTCCCCAGCAGCAGTCCCAGCAGCCATCACTGGAAGAGGAGTTGTCTGAGGAGGATGATGAGGACGAAGAAGAAGAGGAAGATGTGACTGACGAAGACTCCCTGGCAGGGAGAGGCTCAGAGAGTGGGGGTGAGAAGGCAATATCAGTGAGAGGTGATTCGGAAGAGGCATCTGGGGCAGAGGAGGAAGTGGGGACAGTGGCAGCAGCAGTCACAACTGGGAAGGAGATGGACAGTAATGAGAAAGCAACTCAACAGTCTTCTCTGCCACCACCACCACCACCACCTGATAGCCTGGATCAACCTCTGCCAATGGAGCAGGGAAGCAGGGATGTTTCAGGAGGCACGGAAGAGGGGGTCAAACCTGAGAGGAGCTCAAGCCCAGCATCAGCACTCATTCCAGAAGAGGAAGGCACCAGCAGCTCCTTGGTGGAGGAGCTGAGCTTGCAGGAAGCAATGAGAAAGGAGCAAGGAGAGAGCAGCAGCAGAAAGGCCTGTGAAGTGGGTGGCCAGACCCTTCACCCCCAGCCAGCTCTGGAGGAGCATCAGAAGACCCATCCCAAGGAGGGGCAGCTCTTTACGTGTGTTTTCTGCAGGCAGGGCTTTCTGGAGCGGGCCACCCTGAAAAAGCATATGCTGCTGGCTCACCACCAGGTACAGCCCTTTGCCCCCCATGGCCCTCAGAATATTGCTGCTCTTTCGTTGGTCCCTGGCTGTTCACCTTCCATCACTTCCCCAGGGCTCTCCCCCTTTCCCCGAAAAGATGACCCCACCATCCCATGAGCCTGTTTTTCTGTGTACTGCTGCCCTTTGACCCAGGGAGCAGAAGGTCCGTAGAAGGACCTCCAAGATTTATGAGCCCTTACTTTGTCTTTTTCTCTGAGTTCTTACATGATATGTCTCTAGTGGCTTTTCTCTAGTCCCTGAGCTTGGAAATTATTGTGCTTACAAGGGGATTGCTCCCTGAGGAATTTTTCTCCCCTCTTCATTCTTTGTACCTGAGGAAAATAGATTCTGTACAGCTTTCACATTCTCAAGGGAAACCCTCTCTAGCTTTCCTGAAGTGACCCTTCTCCCCTCTCCTCTCCCTTTCCCTTTGACAGGTACACCTGATCACCCACATTTGGAATTGCAGCCCAGCCCAAAGGGGCTGGCAGCTGTCTCTGGAGGGCTCAGCGCCACTCCTCTGGTGACCAGGTCAACCTATAGGACTTCTTGTCCCAGGACCTTCCTGCTCAGTTGGCAGGGGTGGGTCCCCTACCTTTCTGGAACCAGTACACGGCTTTTCTCTCAAGTAGCCTGCCCACCAAGCCCTGGAGTTCCAGCTCCACCTCCAGTACTACTTTAGGCCTGGCACCACCAGTGCTGTTTGGCCCAGGACCTATGGCTGGAAAGGTGCGTCCAACAACGGGATCTATAGAGGCCCAGGAGAAGACAGCCCCCTCCTCCTATATCAGCCTTCTGCATCCAAGGCAGTGTCTGAGAAATCCATCATAGAAGAGAAGTAGCACTGTACATTCCTCCTCTCTCCTCCTCCTGCTTCAGAAGGTGCTGGCAAGGAAGATCCTCCACTAATTGGTGGCTCAAGCCTAGGAGGTAGGGAGAAATGAAAGGGTAATACTCAGTAAATCCCTTGTTACGTTAAGGCAAAGGTGTTGGCTAGTCAGTATGCCGAGACATCGCCAGCTTCTCATTCATGGCCTTTCAAATTGGGAAACAAGTGGATTTCTTGCCAAGAGGTCTCCCATGGGATATTTTGGGAAATGTGAAGTTAGTTATATCTCTAATAAGCATTGTCGGTAAGGGTGTTTATTGAAGTGATGGCAAGTTGAAAAACGTTGCTAAAGCATAGGGCTTTCTGGGAACCTATGTGATTAAGAAAGGGACATGATGTAAGGGAGGGGACCTCAAATTCTTGTGAATGTTCTTTTGGGCTACTAGTGACATAGTGTGCAGCAGTGTACCAGGGATCATGGGGGGAATTCTTAGCACTAGAGTGCTTCTAGTTTTAGGTAACCCCCTCCTTTATTTCCTGGCCCCTTGTATTCTCCTTGTCTTCCTCTCTCAAGACCCCTTTCTGCCCCATTTTGCCTGTCTGGGGCTTATGTCTTGCCACTGTCTGGTTCTTAAGAGTCCCAGATTCTGGCAGATGAGCTCTGGGTGGTATCCTTCCTGCCTCTCCGTCTTGTAATGAGATGTAGTATTTACTCTTAACATAGGATCATTTGGAACAAGAGTTCCAAGGAGGAGAGAGTGAGGGTTTTACTGTTGACTGACTTGAATGATGGCTTCTCCTCCAAAGTTGTAGGCTCCAGAGCTTCCTAACATAGAAAAATGTGAAGAACAGACAGGAGAAATGTTAGTGTCCTTCCCTCCATAATTAAAGATGTTTTAACCAAATATTTGTGTTTCTTTTTATTTCATACTAAATAGCCAGCTGGGGTGTGATATGAGCATTCCCTAACATTGAGATTCCCTTCCTACCTACATCTCCTGCCAAAGCTGAACATATGGTGTTCAAATATTTAATTTACTCAGCCTTGTCCTAAAACAACCTCCAGTGAATATAATTTCCCTGTGGAAATTTGTGTTCCCTGTAGAGTCTGTGGTCTCAAAAGGTAGGGGCTGGCCAGTTAGCTCAGTTGGTTAGAACCCAGCCTTGTAATACTGAGGTCAAGGATTCGGTTCCCTATGCTGGCCAGCTACTAAAAAATAAAGGGATTTGTCCACTGTGTTCAGTCATTGTCTAGGTTTTCTTTTTGCCTAAAACTTTCCACGTTTCTTTGTGTGTTGTGTTTTGTTTTCTTTGGAGGTTGGAAGCTATTACCAGTATTTCCCAAACTCCAGGCCAGCCTACTGACATCAGTGAATCTGTAGAACCAAGGTGAATTAAACATGATCCTTGAGATCTGATGTCAACAGAAAGGAGAAAAAAGTAATACAACCCTAATAATTTATACCAACAGGATAAAGGAGAATTCTTAGCATTAAGAATGCAGAGAAAGCACATGGAGGCAGAGTAAAATGAAGCATGTATTTTTTTAATCTCTCCACAACATGGTACAGATTTGTCTCTAAGACCTTGCTTTCCTTAAGAACTGAATTTCCTAAATTCTTTAGATTTTTTTTTTTGCATTTGTAAGATAATATCTGAATTTTAGTGCTAAAAGGATGGAATTGGTAAAAAGATTTGCCTAAAGTCACTCAGCCAATTAGAGACACAGTTGGATTAAGGAACCTAGGTCAGCAGAATCCCAGTCTTAGTGCTACTTCCAGTAATCAGGAATGGTGCTTGCTTCCTGCTACATTATTAAGACTCCTGATGTGAGGGCTGGCTGGAAGACAGAAAAGAATGAGGTAAGTAAACCTATTCTTGGCTCAATTCAAGGTAAAGAACTGATGTTTGATTTAGTTGCCCCCACTAGAGCAGTACAGGTCCCTTTTAAAATGTAACTGATGAATAGCAACAAATGGGAATCTTGGGAAGGCGACTAGGGGAGAAACAGCTATTTTCTCTTAAATTCCTGGCAAAACTTTGTAAATCTGTTTTTCCTTTCAGCCTATGGAAGGAGGTAGATCATCAATCCTTCCATCCTCAACCACCCCTACCCCCACTGGACATAGATAATACCATTTAACTAATTAAACCAGACTTGCTCTCTCTTTAGGTGCCAGTTCCCATTACGGTAACAGCTGTCAGTGAAGCCCTTATTGATGGACACTTCCTTGGGCAGGTCAACACTAAGCCTGACTCCCCACCTCCCTCTTTCACAGCTGTACTTTATTTTCTCCTCTGTCTCATTTTCATTCTTTTTCCTTCTGTCCTACTTTTTCTTTTTCATTGACCTCTCTTCTTTAACAGCTTTTAGTTCTTTTTATTTTCTCTCTTCACCCCTAATGTATTGCTTCTCTTGTTAGAGCCTTTAATTTCTTCTTCTTGCAACCGACCCTATCCGCACCCTCAGCCCCACCATTTGTCACTCTCAATCACTTTACACTAGATCATCTTTTTGGAAGGTGTATTAACTCTCACCTGTTGGAATAAATATGTAAATACATGCAGCTTGCAAAACACGCACTTTATATGAAACAAACAGGATCTAGTTTAAATTGGATGAATAAAAGTATCGGTATTATAAAAAGCAAGAGGCTGTTAGAAGGCAAACAAAACCAATGCCATTTTTTCCCTGCCCACCATGTTGACTTGTGTTTAACCTCATTCCTTTGTTTCACTGACTGGTTATACCCAAACCTTAGGGCAAACTGTAAAAGGAACATAGGTTTCAGGGAGTGAATGACTTATTACAGCGGGTGCTGTCAGTAGTCTGAGCACTAACATCACAAAACCCCTACTTCTTGAATCAAAAGACACCTGGTAAATGATGTTATCAACTTCTTTTGCCTTTTTTTTTTTTTGGCAGTTGGCTGGTATGGGGATCTGAAGCCTTGACCTTGGTGTTACAACCGTGCTCTAACCAAGTGAGCTAACTGGTCAGCCCCTTAACATATTTTTCTTAAGATGTTTCCTTTAAGTTATTTTTAGTAATAGGGGCTTTTGCTATATAAACATTGTCTAACCTGCAGAGAGAGCTCTCATCTGATGTCACTCTTCACTGTGTCCAGCTGTCCTGTGTATAAGTCACCCTGACTAATAAATATCTATCTCTGATTACTGAATGGACCTGCCCGCTTCCTTCTTCAGTCTCAAAGTATCCTCCCAATTTGGAGGGCATTAAACTTTACCCCCTCCTCCCACAGCCAGCTTCTTCGCTTATTTACTTTTTTCAGATACCAAGTGTTGGTTAGGTACAAAGGCAAATGAGACACACTTCTGCCTTTAGAGGAGCTCAGACTAGGAGGGGAGAAAATGTAAACACTTTTATATGGTGGTAATAAGTACTGTGACAGATACGAACAATGTCCTGTGGGATCCCAGAGAGGGAGATAACTAACTCATAATCGAAACATGAAGAAGGGGTAGGGGTGTACAATTCTCTTGAATTCAGCCTTCATAATAACCACTCTCAAATATATTAATTCACTGGAACCATACAACATCCTAGGGACCAAGGTAGTTACCATTTAAGAACCTATATAAGATCCACCAAGCCCACTGTGGCAGACACAGAAATGTGCTGATTTCAAGTTACCCCTTCAAGAAGGAACTGGCTTCCTAGCTGTGAGGAGCCCGGTCAGCTGACAACCTCCAGCTGTCCCGGTCTTCTCTAGCCCTTGGCCAAAAACCCAGCAAGGTACAAGGTAGAGGGCTTAGCCATTCCCACGCAACACAGGACTCTAATGAGCAGTCTTTGCTCAGGAACTCCCCACTGGGTTGGCAGAGACCTTCTAAGGTCTACTTCGCAGTCTGATGGCTCTCTCTGCCCAATTCTGCTTTCTCCCCCCTTTCCTTTTACAGATGTTATTCCCCAATGAAACTCTTGGACACCTAGCTCTGTCTCAGCATCTGCTTCTCAGAGAATTCCACCTGTGTCACCTCTGAAAAGGGACCAGATTCTACTGGCACATTTTTGTCCCTCAAATTCCTGCACCTGGGACTCTGGTTACCATCCCTGGAACTTCTTCTCGACTAACAAATGTCTGTCTCCTGATCCCCAAAACAGATTTCACTAGACTTATTCTCAGACCAAACTTTGACTTTATTTTCTTTACATTTCCTTGTCTTGTTTTTCTTTCTTCTTTTTTTGGCACCTGGCCAGTACTGGGATCACCTGGACCTTGGTGTCATCAGCACTGCGCTCTAACCAACCAGCTTGCTTTGTCTTTTCTAACTAATGTAATAACACTAGACTGACTAACCCTAGTAGATATTTTACTTTTAGTCATAAAATAAAAAATTAACTATGAGCAAGACTTAAGAAAAAAAATTTCAGCCAAAGAACTAAGTAAGAAGTGCAGTATTTGGTCAGTACTGTTGGTGTTTCTGTAATTCATTGTTGTGTAACAAATCTGCCCAAAACTTAGTGTCTTAAACAATAATTATGTATTTGCTTATGATTCTATGAATTGTCTGGGCAGGCCCAGCTAGGATGGCTTGTCTGTGTTCCATGTCATGAGTACTCAGGTAGCTTCAATTTAGGCTGGAGGGCTCAAGATGGCCTCACTTCTGACCTCTCTCTCCTTATGGTCTTTCATCCTTCAGAGTCTGTCTTTCTCTTTTCGAGTGGT